TCGTTTTTCGGTTGTGTTATTTTTCCGTCTGCAGTTATTGTGGGGGAGTCAGCGTTGAGTCTGTGGTTCGTGAGCAGAAGTTGATTTTTTGTCGCGTTTGGCGTTCGTCTCCATTTATAAAACCATGTCATTGTGTTGTTTGTTAGTGTTTGGAGTCTTTTAGTCGCTTTTTCAGTAGTTTTGTCGTGTATGACAAGTGCCGTGTCGTCAGCGTATTGTAATATGTATGCCGTTCTGTCGATTTGATTTTTGTCTGGTAAGTTGTAATTGTATATCTCATGGCAGTATATACTGTAGATAAAGGGTGAGAGCGGGGATCCTTGAGGGAGCCCTTGTTCAGGGGAAAAAGAAAAGGAGAGTGTATTGTCAATTCGAACTTGTAGTTGTCTGTTTTCTAGTAAGTTCTTTATGGTGTGTAGTAGATATGGTGGTGTGTAGAGTTTGTATAGTTTGTATAGTACAGATACACATAGATAGATAGAACACATATATTTGTGGCATAAGTTTGAAATATTTATTGAGAAATGTAGTATACATCATGAGGTTATGAATGGAATAAAACATCGAACAAATGACCGCCTCGGCTTTGTTGGCACAGACGTGCTCTTTTCATGAAATTTTTGAGGGCTGTCGCGCATAAATTTTGCGGTATTTCAGAGATACAGCGTTGAATTTCATCTGTTAAGGCTTCATTCGTTGTTGGTTTGTTCGCATAAACTTGTGACTTTTAAAAAACGTAAAGAAAAAAGCCCAAAGGCGTTAAATCGCAAGATTTGGGCGGCCAATACCGATCTCTAAAACGAGACATAACTCGACCAGGAAATGGAAATTCTCTGACTGTATGTTGAAACCACATGCTCTTGAGATCGATATTTTGCAATTTTGGCACAAAAAGTTAGTTAACATTTCACGATAAACACCACTCACGGTTAATGCTTGACCAACTGCATTTTCGAGGAAAAATGCTCCGATGCTTCTTCCAGCCCACAATGCACACCAAACAGTGACTTGCTTTGGATACATCTGTTTCTGAACGATCACTTGTGGATTTTCGGAACCCCAAATGCGACAATTTTGTGGATTAACGAAACCATCAAGATGAAAATAGGCCTCGTCACTAAAGATGATTTTCGCTGAAAAATCACCGTCCAATTGTCGTTGTTCCAAAATCCAAGCAAACAAGGCTTTTCGTTGCCCATGGCCTTCCGGCTTCAGCTCTTGAGCCAATTGAACTTTGAGCACATAAAGATCTTTTGGTGAAATTCGATGCATGGTGGTTGTGGAAATACCAATTTCCTGAGCTCTATGTCGACTTGATGTGGTTGGGCTATCCTCGATATTTACACGTACTGCTGCGATATTTTCAGTCGAGCGACCAGGACGAACGCGTGTTTCTGTTTTCATTGGAACAGCAGTTTGAAGAGCGGCAATCATTTCGACATGGATTTGTTTATAACATGTTTATGAGTTGACTTGCTTGACATGCTTAAAACAAATAAAAACTACTGCATTTTACTTTCTAAGGAGAGCGCTGTAAAAATCTGTGATAACGCCAATGAACTTGTGTCTAGCCAGTTTTGTTCTCCACTTTTGAAAAAATATTTGGTCGGTTTTTCAACGAAACATTTCACTTTCAGGCAACACTCAGCAACTTCACGGATCCAATTTCAAGGTGGATTGCAACTATTGTAGCTGTTATGCTGGCGAGCAGGTTTGCAGTAAAAAACAATGTGAAAGTAGTTCTGTGGGAGGCAGAAACACCGCCTACACAACTCTGCCTTGCAATTGCCCACCGCATTATGTTCCAGTTTGTGGCAGGAATGGAATCACTTATCCTTCCGCCTGTTTGGCCAAGTAAGTCAACCATAGGTAGTAATAAATTCCAGGTAAATTAGGAAACTGTGGACTTTCTAGATGCTCAGGATTAAATGATGCTGATATAGAGTCGCTCCCTTGCAAGAATCCCTGCAAAAGCACTACATGTCCTGTTGGGCAGAAATGTGTCCCCTATTTCCAGACTTGCTTGTCTTTGATGCACAAACCGTGCAAGCAATTTGAATGTAGTAAGTGGCACAGTTTTTCAATAGTTTTCAATAGTTTACCTGCTATTTTTTGCGTGCTTCTAGTAAATGGATCCACCGAGTGTTCATCGTTACCAAAAGACCCAGTTTGCGATGCGAACAAGAAACAGTACGATAACGCCTGTTTGTTGGCTCATCACAATGCTAAGCTCGCCTACAGAGGCCCTTGCTTGAAAAGATGTAGGGAAAACGGTCAAGTAAGTTCACAATTTCTTCAATCTCAGACCTCAGATACTCAGCTAAGCGCCGTTTATTCCAGGTTTGTGGTATCAATGGAAGAACGTACACTTCTGAATGTGCAGCACACGCTGACATGATCTCGGTCGATTATAATGGTCCATGCTCTTCAATCGGCTTGATCACAAACACAAAATCCCGGCAATGTTCCAACGTAAAGTGCCACGAACTACCCGATGAGAGTTGCTTAGGTATCATTGTCCGAATTATCGTATTAAAATAAAGTGTTTAAATTCCCTATTTTATTCTTGCAGGCATCACGCCTCCAGGTGCATGTTGTCCGCTATGCGGCGGGTCTTTGCGGCTGTTGTACAGCAGGAAACAGATCGACAGAGCGCTGTATGCGCTTCAAAATAGAGGCACAGACTCTATAAATTTAAGGTCTCTATTGAAAGGCTTAGAGCGGCAAGTTCAAATTGCACAGTGCACTGTAAGAGGGTATGTCACAGTGGAGACCGATATTTTCGTAGTCATACAATCCAATGAAGGGTAAGCCCCAAAAAAAATATGAAGATAATTTTTTCTAATGTGAGAGAAATTAACGTGTGTAAGGCGCACAGTCTGCTTGTGATTATTTTTGAGGAATTTAATGCATGGGAAATTATAAAGTTTCATCTTCAGCTATTGTATTTTTAATCCACTTGGGTTTTTCCAAATGTATGTTTCAGTAAATTATTTTAAAATCAAAGCTAATACTAGAAGAGGTTAATTTTGTCTTTTCAACTCTTTCATTGGGTTAATAAAAAATATTTTAAACTCATTTTTCCGAATTAGACCAATTTAATAAAATGCAATGCAATTACCTTTAGTTATCGGCTGTATTTCTCTTAAATTAGAAAAAAACATAATCCTCTGCTTATTAAGGACAGAATATTTGTTAGACAATTCAAATCCAATTTTCCAATCGGTTTTGGCAAATTGATTGACTTTTTTTCAATTCGTTTTTATCGTATTTTCGATCGGAAACTCTGTTTAAAATTTAATTAATTGGAATTCCAATTGCATTCTTTGCAATCTTCTATTGACGATAAATGAAACTCAATCCAGATGCATGAAATTCAAAAAATGCATTTTAGTCGCATAATATTTTTTACGTTATAGTTCTGTGTAAAAAAATGGATTTAAACACTAGGAGATAAATCAAATTAATAATTTGAAATTGCTGTCTTTTTTATGTTCCTGGCAAGAAATAATAGTAAAATTACGTATAAATGCCTAATTTGACGATTCGTAGTCAAAGAAAACATTACATTTTAGATTGTAGCGCAATAGAAAGACTTTGCAGAACCTGCAGCTTCATTCTATTCAAAAGATGAACGAACAGAAGCTTCAGCGTAGAAATAATTAAAATTATGTCCAACTTTCCAGCAGCTCAAATTATTAAAAACAACACAAACCAAAAAGAGAAAAAGAAACAAATTGGAGCGGAAGAAAGTAAAACTGGAGTATTTGCGAACAATCGGCGATTCTTTCAGTGGCTTCAATCGCAAGCCAAAACATAAAATTGTTATGTTATCAAGAACAAGTTTGGAAACACTCCAGATTTTTCCTAAATCCTTCCGCAAATTTTCATTAAAAAATGCTCATACCATTTTTTATTATTTTTCAGTTATCCTTCATCTTTGCAACTGGAGGCCTGCATTAGGGAAGCAGAGAAAATCGCTGGTTTGGTGAACATGAAAAGTCCCCGGATCGTTAGTGAAGTCAGCCTGAGTTCTTTAACATTAGCTACGGTAGTTCACACCCATATTGCCACTAGTAGCACTCACATTTATATTCCAAACTTAATGTTGACGATTCTGGCGGCCACATTTCAATACATTTGGTTTTTGCGATAATTTTCGTACAAATCACCGAAGACAACGTTCGGAACAGAATTGAAAAACTGCTTCAGATAACTAGGAATTGCGAAAGATGAATTCGGATTTTACAAAAAAAAGTTTGAGACTCCGGCATCATTTCCAAAAAAATTGAAATAAAGTTTATTAAGCTTTGACCTGTGATATTTTAATTTCTAATGGCAAATAGGACGTATACAAACATGTAGTTAAGGTTTTGTAACATATAGCGCTACACTTTGTTTATAAATGTACATTTATTTATGTTGTATATTTCTTTTTTGATAAGTAAATACATATTGTTTCAGTTCATTACAAAATAGATCATAGTTAAGAACCTAATTTACCACAAGTAAATCTACTGCAGACTCGCACTCTTTCGCGATTTTGATTACTGTATTATTTTCATATTGTTTAACAAAACAGTTCTAACCAAAGACTTTTGCTCTCTAATGTCACTAAAATATGGTTCTATTGTAACTATGACTTTAGTTTTAAGATTTAAATAGTTTTTTTACAATAACATCTTAAAGATTCAAAGAACGAAGTAGTTCTATGTTGAGTGTCGTATTGTTACCGAAATATATTTTTATTACATTCCCGGCATTTTAAATTAATACAGCAAAAAAATGCAAATCAGATCAAAGCTGTATATTTTTGTGCAAGTATCATTTAAGCCTTAGAATGGAAACATCTGCATGGCTTGTTCTTTGATTTTTGCAGTTTCTTCATATCCAAAGAAATCGTGGACTTGCATGGATTGGTTTGCTGTTCATGTTTGTCCCCTGTTATATTCATTTCTTTCATATATTTCTGAAAAAGTTCCGTGGTTTATTGTCTAATGAATTTTGTTTCAATTTTCACTTACAACAATGACTCGTTCAATGGGAATGGTGGTGCGTCCCTTTTTCTTCGCTAGTTGCAACACCTCTTCAGCGTATTCAAAGAATTTTGAATCTTCCTCTTCAACGCACGGTTTTTGTAACGCGTTGTCTAATTCTTTCTCTCTTTGCTGCTCCAATCTTTCATCTTCCTGGATATTGAAATGGAGTGAAAAAGGTTGTCGTAAATTTACATGTCTATCAAGGTTATTTTACCATTTGCTCACATAATTCCTTCCGGTACTTAATTACTTTCTTCCACATTTCCTCTTTCTTGGCCTGTTCATACTTTTTTACATTTTCGTCTACCTTGTAGCGGTTTAGTAATTCCCACTTTTTAATTTCGTCTTGCCTTCTCGTTTTTTCTTCTTCAACCCGCAGGACTTCCGCTCTGTTTTGTAACCTCTCCTGCTTCATTTTGGCTTGAAACTCTTTTTTCGATTGCATTTTTTCAAGTTCTCTAGAAACATCGAATTCATTCAAGATATGCCACTTATGCGACTACCTACGCAGCTTCCTTCTCAGCCATGGCTTTTTTGATAATTTTTTCTTCGGCTTCAGATTTATCCATTTGCTCAGCCATTACCATCGCAGCAATTTTCTCTTGTTTTTTCAGAACAGCATCCCTCATCTGGAAAAAAGTTATTTGAGTCTTAAACGACAATTGGTGTAAAACGAAAGCAGACCAACCTCTTGAACACGTTCCTGCTTCATGCAGTCGATCCTATGTTTTGCTTCCTTGTATATTTCTATGACTTCGTCAAGTTCTTTTTCTTCTTTAATTTTTTGCTGCTTGATTTCGCGATCTTTTTGCAAGTATTTCTTTTTGTCCTCGAACAATTCCTTTTTTCGCCTTATCTTCTAAAGTTTGCAACGCTGAATGAGTTGAGAATCTTTGGTTAGCACCAAGATACTTACTTCGTCAGTTTGCAATTTTTCAAGTTTTTCCATTTCCTTCACTGCTTCGATGTTATCAAGGGCTTCTTTCTTCGCTCTTTCCACTCGCATTGCTTTCTCGTGTTTTGCCTTTTCTTCAATACTGAAAAGTAAAATGGGAAGATTGACGTAGGGGAGTCATTCCGGCTCTTACTTTTGCTTTAGTTTTTCACTGTGTTCCATTTGTTTTTCGAATCTTTTCTTTGCTTTTTCAGCCTCAGCCACCATTTCTTCCTCCGCTTTTTGCTGTTGGATTTCCAGATATTTCTGATTTTCATCTTTTTCATGTTGCTTTAATTTCTCCATAAACTCCTGTTGCTTTTGTCTTTCGAACAGTATTTCCGATGTTACCAGGGCGCTAGTCAAATCTCTGCAAAACGATCTTGAGAGGATTTTTTCAGATGTTTTTTTAGATAGCGGGAGGACCTGGCGTGCCCTGTTGTCATAAATATTTGCTTCTTCACTTTTTCCATGTACTTTTCCCGGATTTCCTCCTGCTCTTTCCTCAGCTCTAGAAACCGCAGCTGTCGCTCTTCCTTCTTTTTCTCCAGTAGTTGCACACGTTCTTCCTCCTTCCGTTTGCGCACGTTCTAAGAAGCACTTTTAAGCAGCGCAAAAATGAGTTCTACTCAATTTACCTCCAGGGAGTTTTCCCATTCTTTTGTCATATTTTTCGAGCCTTCATCCAGATATCTTTTAATGGCGGCTTCTTTATCGGCAGCTTCTTGCAGAATCTTTTTCCGGTCCAAGTGTTTGGTTATACCGTCCCAGCCAGTTTTCGTAATGTGAAGCGCATGTTGTCTGTCGGAGATTTTTGTGTTTTCCAATGTTTGACCTGCAGAAGCAGAAGCAAATTATCGGAGAGCGAACTTAATAATAATATAAATTTGGCTCTCACCTGGAAACAAGAACCATCTGGAATCCATTCGCGAAGAGAAACTTGAAGTCAACTAAAATCTTTATGAGTTTGAGTGTTTTTGCGAACCGTAGGGGCTTCAGCACAACTTTACGACTGCTGTCGCTGTGTTGATTACCGTTGCCAACAAACTTACAACCAAGCATATCGATTTAGCTGATTGTTTGCCGTCCGTAGCAACTGAAATAGTTCAGCTTCATGCCGAATTGGCTTTAATGTCCACCGATAGATTGTTCGTTTACTCTATAAAAACATATTTTTCGCAATTTTATTTAGGTTGAAACCATTGAGCCATATTTCTCAATTCAGTCTTAAAAACTGAAAATTATGATCTGGAAAGCACAGAAAAATCCAAGTTCCGGAAGTAGCAAAACAAATGAAACTTAACTGAAAAGTATTCTTTAATTAATCTACTGTTTAGCACCATCTTCTGCTAGTAAATGTTTTTTTTTTGTTGAGTTCTCATCGACTTTTTGTTTACTTCGTCTAGATCCGTTATCCCCACGTCTTTGTTGCATATTAGTTTTGCTGCACTTAACAATAATTAGTATAAAAATTGAAGTAATGAGTTCAGCAGACAAAATTCATCTTTAATTTTTCCGAGTGTTTAGCGTTTTTGGGACTAACTCTGGAGAAGCATTAAAAAAGCCAATTGCAGAAGTTAAGCTTCTCTTTCATGTATTGATTAATTTTGAATTAACAATTTAATATCGTAAGTCAATCCGTTTTTTTAAACTTTCATTGACAGTTTTCCTAACATGTTTATCAGCGATATAAAATTACGCATATAAAATACAGTATAAAATTACATTTGTCTGGAATACCTGGATGACATTTTGCTTCCTAGCCCCCACCCCAAAGGTTTTCTCGCCGCGTGGGTGGTTGTTTGGGAAAATCTCAGTTTGCCGGGAAAGTTTCTCAGAGTGTCACGTTTTCCGGGCGACAAATTGTGTTCTTCGGATCCGAGGCTTTTGAACCGCGAAACTTCGTTTTAACTTTTTCTAGGCTTGTGTGATCTTCCAGATAGCATTGGTAAGTCGTTGTGAAAAATTGATTTCTAACTAGCTCTGAACTGTGAAGTTTCCGAAGGGAAACAAAGAGTGATATTTGCGTAGATGCTAAATATTTGGTTGATGTCTGGCAATTAAGATGCGGTGGCTTGTTTGCAGCCAACTAATTAAGCAATATCGGTTCTATTTGACTTCAAATAGCTCTGTTAGCTTCATAAAAGTGGAACGATCATACTTTTTCAATAAGATGAATTGTGTAATATTCATTTACATTTTCCATAGGTACTTTGCTTAAACTAAAACATCGTTTGATGCAGAGTCATTAGTGTGTTTGGAAGGCATTTTTATATACATTCACACATACAAAAAAAATGGTCTATAAAAATGCGTTATAAGTATTCTTCAGTACAAGCGTCTCTTCCCCATGGAATTCAGAATATTTTCCATATTTGCTCAGACGTTTCAAGGAACGCAAACGTCTTCAGGCATTATCATCTTTGTTCCATTTGTATTAGGTACTTTGCATGGAAAACTAAAAAAAAAAAACCAAACCCTGGAAATATGAGTGAAAATGCGACAATACAAATATTTCAGTTTAGTGTAAAATTAAAAATTGGGTTTTAATTTTAATAATTCCTACTTTTTTTTGATCATTACCACCACAGATATGTGTCTATTCGAATATTGCGCATTGACTAACATTTTACTAATTTTCGTGATTTAAATGTATTGTTTCACTGGTTTTAAGGGTGAGTATTTGAGTTGCTAGACACAAAAAAATTGCATTATGCTTCAGATTTGAATTAATAATTCTGCAATGAATAATGCAACTCCAAAATGTTAATGAGATGGTTGTTGTGCTCTCGGTTTAGCGGATCGTAACTTACAAAGTCTGCAAGTTTGTTTGTCGCTTTGTACGTGGGCTCCAACTGAACAAGCGGTTTAGCAAAAATGATGAGAAATTCACAGTTCTTATCAGAAATTCAAGAGTTTAGGGCAAATGACTCTGTGAACTGCAGATAGTATATATAAGGTAAATTGTGATAGTGGAATATTTACGGAAGCGAATTCTATGCTGGTTTAAATTAGGCACTCCGTGATAAATTGGAAATTGTTAGCATTTAGCTTTCAAGTTTCTCAGACAACACGAAAATAAGAAAAGGGCACAGTCTTTTTTATTTTAGATTACCTGTCTCCCCGGAGCGTTGAAATTCGCTTTGGACATGCCACTTATTCAATTTTTTGTTCGGATCTTCCCGGTTTTGGAATAAGGGCTGTTTTTCACTCCCCAACTTGCCAAATCAATATCAAATGAACAAAGGAGGAAAACTTTTAAGGTTTTCTATAAACTTAGTTTATTATTATCCGGCTTATTACCTATTTAGGAGTGTTTTATCCCTATTTAACTAAGCAGCAATTAATGAATTACTTAACAGGACTGAATCGTAAACAGTTGAAACCCGATTTTTATGGCGAGGTTTAATTGAATTTATTTATGAATTTTGGTTGCTGATTTCACTTTTATGCATCTACTTCATTTGAGTGTAAGTGTAAAGTCTAGGACTAATAACATAAACAATGTATTATTTTCCTCAAGGAATTGCGGCTTACGAACATTTAAATAGAGTGGCAATAAAACGGAAGTAGCAAGTTTTCGGCAAAATTTGTTTAAAAGTGGACTGATACTTCAGCTTACAATTTCCTCCCAATTCCTTCCTTCGTCCTTTGGACAGTATTGTCTTAGGCAAATTGTCGAATGATTAATAAAAATATATACTGAGAAAATTAATGCAATTTGTTACAGCAGCAGACTGAAATCTAATTATTTTACAAATATTGGATAGGTCGCATATCGATTGATTTAAAATCGATTGAATACGACAAAATACCGAATAAACTGGAAAATAATTGTGAAGCTACTAACACGCAAGCTTTCATGCACTTGGAAATAAACATTGCGTGCTTAAAGCTTACATGAATCGGTTATTTCAATTAATATAAAAATGTCTGTGGGCGATTTGAAGTGCTGAAAGCTTTTTTTGGTTTGGATTCGTTTATTTCAATTACTATTATTTGAGTTGACTAACTGGAAAAAATATTTCGTTAACAAATTCCAAACAATCCTTTGTGATTTTTGGTGCTCATGAAACTGACTAAATATTTTTGCCATTCTCCAATGGTATTTCAGACAAAACTACACTTTTACATCCTGCAAAAATACCAAAAGAGTATCGCTGGAACGAACATTCTGAAATAACATCTAGCTAATTAAATTACCTGCCACTGTGATCGAATTTTATTCAAAGGTCAAGTCCGAAAGTATTCTGAATTGAATAATAAAAATAATATTCTCAAAATACCCTTCCATTACTTATTAAATCCATAGGCGCCATTAGGAAGAGGTAAAATGAGCTAAAATCAGGAAAATTCTTGTATGGACAGAGCAGAAAAATGAACCAAAATATTGCAAAACCTTCAAATTATACCGTATATTTATTTAGGTGGCCTTAGTTCTATAAATCCCAATTTGCATCGGAAATGTCTTTACTCACAAAAATAGAAAAGTTTACTTTTGTTCTATTACGATGCAAATGCGTAAAGGCTGATTTATCGTCATCAATTCAAAGGCTTTAATTAAATCTTCAAGTTTCCAAAATAATACTTTTTGCTGCTTTTTCTTAATTATCAGCCAGACACGCGCGGAAATTCCCTGTCTGCAGATTTTTGACAGTTTGCTAAATTTTGCCTCTTTCTCAACATCAGATAGTAAAACATTGGTTGAACATGCTTCCGCCCCCTGCTGAAGTTTGCTTTTTGCAATTTCCAATTAACCTTAATATATTACATAAAAAAATGCGCAGCTTCACATGAAACATTTTACGTTGAATGTCTGGAAATTAAATCATTCTCCTTTCGTTTCAGTGAAATTATTAATTTCGCACTTAAAGGGCTTTTTCCACTCCATTTGAGCTACAAGACATTACTTTGTTCATAAGAAAAACGCCCTTTCGCTGAAATAGTGTAAAGGTCATATTAGGTGTAATATTGCATTCCATAATTCATACCTCAATGGTTTATGGCGTCATAACAGTTTTTATGATGCCAGAAGGGATTAAACGAAATAAATAATTTAATCGCTCTACAAACACCGTCTGAGTGCTATTAAACTGGCAAATGCGTTTCCAAGGGCTACAGAGAAATGGAACGGACAATATTAGCGGCAGTTAATCACATTATGGAAGAGCAAATCTGGATATTCTATGGGAGCTGGATTAAGCCTAACATCCAAAAGCTAACCAGATATAATTATTCCTGTTTATCAACACATTTGGGAACTCCATTTGCTAATACACTTAAAACTTAGTGTTGATATAATAGTAAAATGTGCCTTTAAAAGGTTTTACTGCTACATGGGGAGTTTAGAGACTTTTCCGTACTTTACCAGTTATTTCGACAAATATATACCAACGCTCATAAACTATTACTGAGCAGTTATACTTCAATAATTAGTCTAAATCTATGAAGCTTTCAAGCAAGTTTTAATAAATAATAATAATAATAAATAAAACTCCACTATTTTAGAAGAAAAATCGACACTTGAAACGGATTACTCAGCAGCTCAGAAAAGTTTAGAACACTTTAAACGCCAGTCCGATCCATTCTGCTATTGGATAATCTTGACTTGAAACATGAATGTTTGTTCAAGTGTTCCGGATAATACCTGGTTTAAACCCTTAAAAATATTTCAAAATAACTTCAGTTTTCTAAATGAACAGTTGATCAATAATTATAACTGGCAATCTAAACAGTTGTTAAGCGAAAACCATCTAAAATTAAATTTTGATAAACAAATATTTGAACTGTAAAATGCTGTGTTTTTAATGAAAATGAAGAAAAAACTATGAGAAATAGAATATTTGAGTTATTTGCTTTTGGTATATTGATACGGATAAATTAGTGTTGATTAGTTTGGGGTTTTAGAATGGCGCAATGGAAATCGATACTGTGGTCAGCCTGAGGTTGATATTATTTATTTAAACATTTTATGTCAAGTAGAACGTTGCATTTTATTTATTTGCCTCTGATAAGAAACGAGTTTCTACTTGGAATATTTCACATAGTCATTGGTCGATTTTTATTTCAATCCAACAATTCCATGAAAACGATTCTTTTAGATTTCTAAATGGCATCGGCGCTATTTGGCAATTTTATTTATTCATCTGTAGAAAACTCGTCTTATTTTACCAGAACTCAGTCCGAATGCTGCTTAAATTCTAATTGAATAATTTTCCACGTCTATGCTGCATTAGGCGAAAAAATCACGCTGCTTAATTCAATAATACGCTTTACACTGCATTAAAAACCATGATAAGCGATGTCTACATTTGCAGATGGAGACAAATTTGCTAATAAATATTTTCACGAGTTTACGTTAATTTCATGCATAGTTATTTATTAGTCAATGTAACCGAAAATATGTCAATACTGTATATAGAAAAACCAATGCAACGTACAATCAACGACCGCGTAAATGATTTTATTGTTTAAAAATTTGTGGAATTAAAAGCCCCTTTAAAACATATTTAGTGTTTCATACAACATTTTAACCGCATCTCAATCTATTACTTTCCAGTTTAAACTATAAAGTAACATCTAAAGAACACTCGCGGCCTTTGCTTGAACTAGCGATTTTTTCGCGCTGTTAGTTTGACTCGCCTCTGAAGATGCCGATGATGAAGATGAAGATGTTTGTCTGACGCATCAACATTGCATTAGTTTAGTGTACTTGTGTTCAAACTACTCAAAAATTAAATCTGCATTAAAATAAATCTGCAAAGAGATTGGCCGGCAGCCTTTTGCGTTTTTCTCCGAACACTGATTTTCCTTGTAGAGTAATCTTTTGAGACCCTAAAAGACTTTGTAGGAGCAATAAAAAAGTTCCATTTATCCCACTTGGGCGAGCAATCAAAGTTTCATGAAAACAAATCTGAAAGGAGAGGCTGGATGTTTAACATAGGATCG